TATGGCACTGAGGAACAAGCATTTCAAACACAGGCCATCCATTATCACGCAGGCCCTCAACCTTGTGCTATCTGTATATCCACTAACATGGCTGGATTTTCCATGTGTCTCTGTAGACAGCTTCTTAAATGCAAGCTCTGCCATTTGTTAGGATATTCTCTGAACTTTTCTTTCACCTTATTGCTCAGACTGAAACCTGGTTGTCCCTTGGAAACACTACTTCCCATGAATCCATTCAAGGGAGGTGCTTTCCAGGTCCCCCCAGGGCAAAAAGTGAGGTAGGCACTCTTCCTGTCTTTTTCTTACCTCCAGTAATTGCATTCTCATGCTTTGTTTTTCTGCTTATTACCATAGATGAATGTTTCCTGCTCCTAGGAGAGCCAATCTCTCCATTTGTATGCAGACTCACCCTCTTCTCCTTATGGAAGAAAATCATGCCAGCAATTTCCCCCCTTTCTCTTTTATCAACCTTTTTTCTCTTTCTACTGCCACATTGACATCAGCTTGCCAATGTGCTGTAATTTTGGTCAGATAAGGAGAAAAAAACCCTAATCTTGTTTTGATATTATCTTCCCCACCATTTCCCACTCTATTTCCTTACTTTTCTATAGAGTGCAGGGGTTTATTTTACGAGAGTTGGTAGACTTGCTTTTTTCAATTGCTCTCCTCCTTTTTCTCTCTCTCCTCATTTTCTTTCTGTAATTTCAAAGATCTACTTTCCATTATACATGAAAGTTAAAATAATAGTACGAGAAACTGCAGTATAGCTTATATTCAGACTCATGGTTTGTTTATGTTTTGCTCTATTATTCTATCATCTGTCCCTATACACACACACACACACACACACACACACACAGACTTTGTTCTTCCTGAGTAATTTGAGAGTGAGTTGGAGATGCCATGTCCCTTATTCTGAAGCACATTATTGTATATTTCCGAAGAAAAAGAATATTCTCTTTCATAAGTGCAGTAAAGTTATCAAAATCAGAAAATTAAACATTGATACCACATTACTATCCAATACGTAGTCTACATTCACATTTTACCAGTGATCTCAATGCAGTCCAGGGTCATACGTCACCCATAATCATCATGTCCTGTTAGTAGCCTTTAATCTGGAACCATTTCTTAGGCTTTCTTTATCTTGGTTGATTTTGACATGCTTTTAAGTGACTCCTGTTAGGCATTTCCCTAGCATGGCCAATAACCTCCTCAATTCGAATTCCAGTGGAACTCCCCTTCTCTTCTGGTGGCAGCACTTCACACAGCTGACCACCGGTCCTCTTTGACACAAGTTCGTAAAGCCTGTCAGGGCCCCACAAGATGTTGGTGTCCCTCTCGTCTCCCTGGCCTCTCTTTTTCAGTTTTCTCTGCTGGTTCCTCCTCTGCCTCTTTCTTAATGTTGACTAGCCCCAAGGCCTTAGTTCTAGGTTATCTTCTCTTTACCCACACTCGCTCCCCAAGTCATCTCACACTGACTTAAGGGCTCCAAATACTGTCTACACACTAATCAGTTTTAAGTGCATATTTTCAGCTTAGCAGCATTGGCCTCAAGTGTCTAACTGCCGGCTTAGCATCTCCCTTGCTGCTGAAACCTTTCTTCTAGTGATGTCCAGATAGGCAATTCCAATATTCACTTCTCAGTCCTGCTTATATTGAATATTTCTGCTTCCTTTATTTCTGTTAACCAGCGCCTCTGTTTTAAAACTTGAGTTCTTTGGTTTTTGCCACATCAGCCTTTTGGGTTTTCTCCTATTTCTCTGTTTTGTTCAGTAGCTTTCAGGTCTCCATTTGTCCTCTCCTTCCTTCCTTCTCTTTCTATGAGTTTTGTCCTTAGCCACCTTCTTTTTTCTTTAAACACTTTGGGTGATTTCAACCAGAATTTCTACTAACCACAATTTTTTTTTTTTTTTTTGAGATAGAGTCTCACTCTGTCGCCCAGGCTGGAGTGCAGTGGTGCGATCTTGGCTTACTGCAACCTCCGCCTCCTGGGTTCACGCCATTCTCCTGCCTCAGCCTCCCTAGTAGCTGGGACTACAGGCGCCGCCACCACGCCTGGCTCATTTTTTTTTTTTTTTTTTGTATTTTTAGTAGAGACAGGGTTTCACCGTGTTAGCCAGGATGGTCTCGATCTCCTGACCTCATGATCCGCCCGCCTCGGCCTCCCAAAGTGCTGGGATTACAGGCGTGAGCCAGTGCGCCTGGCCTAACCACAAGTTTTATACTGACCATTTCCAAATATTTTTCTCTAGCTTCTATTACTCTGAACAATAAACTTGTATATCCAAATACCTGGTTGAGAGTTAAATAGCTACAGGGCAAAATGCTCCAAACTTAGAATCTTTTCTTACCAGCCTTTTAATTCCTCCCCATCTGAAATGTTGGTAAATTCTGTCTTCCACAGCCAGTCATTCAAGCAAGAAATTACGGCGCCATCTTGAAGTGTTCCTCAACTCCTGTGTAAAACTTAACATGTTTGGTTGGTTCTACCTCATTAAAATCACCTATTTCCGTCTCTTTCTCTCTATCCCATCTCCCTTACACCAGGCTCTTAACATTGTACCAAGACTATGGGACAAGAGTCTCTTAATTTCCTGTTTCCTGTTTTGAAAACTTCACACATTGTCACTAGGATTAACCTAGTGATTGTTCAAAACATAGTTTTATTAGCAAAGCTAGTCAACAAAAACATTTTATCATTGAGAATGCTTTTATTTTAATACCGCATTATTATCTTATTACAAAGAGAGTAAATTTGTTTTAATTAAAATATAGTTTAGGAAGCTGAATTTCCATTCTTCATATTAAGAACAAATGTGCATTTGATTCTCTTTCACAAAATTGAGCAATTATGCTAAAATATCTAACAGTTGAATGTTTTCCAGAGAATTATTTCATTTAATTCTTAAGCAAATACATTTTTAAATGTAAGCTATGTTTAGTGTTATTTGTTTTAACTATAAAATATAATTAGTCTAATGTGCTTCCTATGAGAATATAATTTTTTCAAGAAGTTTTCTTTGAAGCTGGGCACAGTGGCTCACGCTTGTAATCCCAGCACTCTGGGAGGCCGAAGTGGGCAGATCACCTGAGGTCAGGAGTTCGAGACCTGCCTGGCCAACATAGTGAAACCTCGTCTCTATGGAAAATACAAAAATTAGCTGGGCATGGTGGCGTGCGCCTCTAATCCCAGCCACTTGGGAGGCTGAGGCAGGTGAATCACTTGAATCTGGGAGGCAGAGGTTGCAGTGAGCCAATATTGTGTCACTGTACTCCAGCCTGGGTAACAGAGCGAGACTCTGTCTCAAAAAAACCCCAAAAAACAGAAGGTTTCTTTGGTAGCATGAATAAAATAATTGAAATAATGAATTCCAAGAGACTGAGCCCAGCAATCTGTTTCATTTTATGTTTCCTTAAGAAAATAATCCTTCTGCTGAATAGTATTTGACAAAAATCTGCAAAGTTTTGTTTTCCTTATCCTCTAGATGTTTTTTGTTTTTTAAGAAAGAAAATAGAGCAGCACAAAATATCCGAGTGAACTAATGAAAAAAATCTCTTTCAAAATTGGTGTTGGTGTACAGAATAGGCAAATCCACAGAGACATAAAGTTGATTAGCAATTGCCAGGGCTGGGGGAGAGGCAGTGCAGAGTGACTGCTAATGGGGATTATGTTTCTTTTTCCTTCCTTCCTTCCTTCCTTCCTTCCTTCCGTCCGTCCGTCCGTCCGTCTTTCCTTCCTTTCCTTTCCCTTTAATTCCTTCCTTCTTTCCTTCCCTCCCTCCCTTCTTTCCTTCCTTCCTTCCTTCTTTTCCTTTCCGTTTCTTTCCTTTCCTTTCCCTTTAATTCCTTCCTTCTTTCCTTCCCTCCCTCGCTCCCTCCCTCCCTCCATTCCTTCCTTCCTTCCTTTTCTTCCTTTCCTTTCCTTTCTTTTCCCTTTAATTCCTTCCTTTGTCCCTCCCTCCCTCCCTTCCTTCCTTCCTCCCTCCATTCCTTCCTTCCTTCTTTTCTTCCTTTCCTTTCTTTTCCCTTTAATTCCTTCCTTTGTCCCTCCCTCCCTCCCTCCCTTCCTCCCTCCCTCCCTTCCTTCCTTCCTTTTCATTTCTTCTTCTGTCTTTTTTGACAGGGTCTTGCTCTGTCGCCCAGGCTGCAGTGGTGCAATCTCGACTCACTGCAACCTCTGCCTCCCAGGTTCAAGTGATTCTTCTGACTCAGTCTCCTGAGTAGCTGGGGCTACAGGCACCTGCCACCACGCCCAGTTAATTTTTGTATTTTTAGTAGAGATGGGATTTCATCATGTTGGCGAGGCTGGTCTCAAACTCCTGAGCTCAAGTGATCCACCTGCCTCAGCCTCCCAAAGTGTTGGGATGACAGACGTAAGCCACCATGCCCGGCCTGGGATGTTTCTTTCTGGGTTGATGGAACTGTCCTGGAATTCGATAGTGGTGATGTTTGTAATGCCTTATGGATATACTAAAAACCACTATATTGTACACTTTCGATGGGTAAATTTTATGGTATATAAATTACATTTCAATTTTAAACATTGGTTTTAGTATCGAAATATTGACTTCTAAAAGTGTCTTAAGCTTTTGCCACATTGACCGTCCATTCAGTGATGACGATGGGTCCCTCCTACGACCCACATCCAGAACGCAGAGTCATTAAGTGGGTTCAACAATCTTACAAGGGAGGAGGTGCACGCCGGTATTTTTGACCTCAGGGCAAGGCAGATACATTCAATTTCTTTATTTATCAAGTTGGGATAGTCATAAGCAGTGAAAGAATTATGATTATGAGTTGTTAATAAAAACGTGTAAGATTGATTGAAAGTGTAAGATATGTATATCCTTGGTGAAGTGGGTAGCATTTAATCATTTTTCAGGAAATCCTCTAATAGTTTAACTTCTGGGGATGTTACGAAATGGTATATCTGATCATTTTGAAAAAAAATCACTGGAACAATTTTAATGATACCTATTTACTTTTTTTCTAGAGATCTTGATTTCATAAAACATGTTTTCCTTTCAAGTGACATCCCATGAGATTTTGCTTCATATGAAAATTCTAGCTTATAACAGAACACATTAGGGGAGGTGAGTATTCATTTATATTATTCATATATATATATATACACACATACATATATATGATAAAGTCGGCTTCCCTGGGCCATGCTAGGTTGTGTGTCCTGTACCTCCTCACAAGCACGATTCTTCAGAAACAAATACAGTGTGTGTCGGAGGTGGAGTGGCACCCAACACTGGGACTCCCATTCACGTCAAGGACATTTGCCCTGAAATGCTGTGGCCATTTTACCACACATGGTAAATGTAAAAACACTTCAAATGAAATATGTGAAGCTTAATATCTTCCCTGCAATCTGAGCCTTTGTGTTTCACAAACTAAAGGATCTCACAGTATATTGCAACCTGTTTCCCAGCTCTCCTGCACTTCTGCCCCGCTCACTTCCCATCAGAGAACTTTCCAGAACATGCTGTTGTCTTTCCAGACATGGGTAAAATCAACTACCATTCTTTTCTTTCTGTTTTTGTCTGTGAACCTGTTGATTATACTGAACACTATTTCTTTCTAATTTATGTTTGATGCATGAAAATATTAGCTATTGACGTGAATATTTGCTACTAATACTTAGCGAGGCAAAAGAGAACATCACATTTTTTATTCAAAGTTGAATTTGCTGTACACATCTATAGTTCAAATAAAGACAAAGAAAGATAATTTGATACTGGAACAAAACATCTTTGTCATCCCACAATATATTTTTTTCCAATGAAAAGACATGTACAAAGAAAATTTGTTTAATTTTAACGTGAAATATCAAAAATGCACCTGATAGCTAGCACCTCAGTTACTTTGGTATTCAAACTTTTGGAAGTTTAATCTATTCCAAGCAGACATAGACTTAAACATAAATTGAAGATTTCAAATAATATAGGAAAAAAGTCACAAATATGTATGCTTTCTTTCTTTATCACTGTGTTATCAATTAAATTGGTTGCCAATGATGTGGTAGGCATTGGACACATAGTAATGGACAGATAGAAACTATAGAGGACTCACAGAACCTCCCACAGGCTCTCAGAAAAAAGCCTATTGACTGCAAATTTGTCTTAAAAGTTCGTGTAATTGATTTAACAACATGATTTTCCTTTGCACTATTTAGTTCTTAGTAGGCTACAGTGAATGGCAAATTAAATGTAAAATACTATGAGTGGACAAAATGTTAGAAATTGACATGTAAAAGGCCCAGCAGTCTGAGGCCACTTAACTTATGACAATAAGTTATGACATAACTATGAAAATATTCCTATTTTTGCCATTAATTTATTATAACTGTATATTTAAAAAAATATTTGTCATGTTACTTAAGAACAAAGATCTAATATAAATAAGGCATTATAAAGTATTTTGAAAATGTTATCATTGAATAGTCCATTTTTATTACCCAAATTTCAAATTTGATGAAATTTATAATTTTAGATTTAGAGAAAACATTTTCAGAGAATTTTCTGCTCTATGCTTTCAATGAACCTTTAGATTTCTATTTTCTTTTGACCTTTTTTCAATACTGATTGCATTCCTGTTCTTAAATTAAAGTCCATGCAATGAAATTTTCATGATGTTCTAGTTTGCTTAATTTAAAATACATGTTATTTTATGGATCATCATTTCTGTTGTTTTTCTCTGTGCAATATGTTTGTTTTTCTAAAATGGGCTTATAAACTACAATGTCAAGGTTGGTATATTTGTTGCTATTTCAGGATTTTAAGTTGACATCTCTGTATACAATTTTTTTTTAACCTTCTCTTTTCCAAATCCCTTAATACTGTGCTCAGAACCCAAATGACTTTGAATACATGTTTGTTAACCAAGTACAAGTTAATCATGGCTAGGTCTTTTGAAAATGGAATACACTTTCCACAGAAAGAAAGCAACATATAAATGCTGAGTGCAGAAGAACCCTCTGAATCGTGAAAATGTGGCCCAGCAGGTGAGCTTTACATTTTGACCTTCGATGATTCCAGTCACTGGAATTGAACAGGTTGGGTTTTTGCTGAGCACAAAGCAATTTCTGTGGCAACTTTTTACACAGGGTCAAAGAGCAAACTAAAAAGCAGAAAGTGACTTTGTGTGATTTTCTGAGCGGCACAAAGACATCACTGAATTATTTCCCCTTGTATGACATAGGAAATGGTGAGCTCCATTGTGCCTCTTAGAATAGGCTTCTTAATTGTTCATGTAGCAATGGAAGGTGCTTGCCACACTTTTCCAGGCCTTCTTGTTTTATTTCCATAGATAATACTTGAATATCTAGAAAGACTTTTAGGTTCAAGTTTCAAAAGAGCTTATTTAAAGTTTTGAATATTCAGTGCCAATAGGCTTCCCTGTATCCTTCGGGTATTAAAATCTCTAGTGGTCTAGTAAAAGAGATGCATTTATTAAGATTTGTTACCTCTAGCTATAGGTTTGTGTTTTTTACCAGTTAATATTTAATTCAGTGCTAGCTTTTGTAAGATAGAGTAGAAAGTAGTGAGGGTGGAGGGATTGATAGGGAAAAGAATTACTGTAGCATACAAGAGGATGCAATGACACACCTGATTATGTGGAAGAGAAGTGAATGTATCAGGAGCCCAAGGAGGATCTCGCACATAACAGGGAGTAAATCATGCAGTTTTCCAAGGAGTGGAGAGATTTGAAATAGATCTTAATACACAGCCGTAATTGGATAGGCAAAGGGGAGACAGAGGAGCATAATTTGTACAGACACAGGGAGTGGAACTTAGTTTGTTCAAGGCCTTAGTGGTCAACTGGTACAACTCTTTGAGATGTACATGAATTGACTTTATTTCTGGGCTCATTTTTGGAGTTGTTTTGGTTTAAATGACCTTTAGAACCTCCCTTCAAGTCCAACTGGTCAAAAAGTGCTAGTGATTTTCTTTTTCTTTTCTTGTTTTTTTTTGAGTCTCACTCTGTTGCCCAGGCTAGAGTACAGTGGCGTGATCTTGGCTCACTGCAACCTCCACATCCTGGGTTCAAACGATCCTCTTGCCACAGCCTCCTGAGTAGCTGGGATTACAGGTGTGTGCCACCATGCTTGGCTAATTTTTGTATTTTAGTAGAGACAGGGTTTCACCATGTTGACCAGGTTGGTTTTGAACTCTTGATCCCAAGTGATCCACCTGCCTTGGCCTCCCAAAAGTGCTGGGATTACAGGCATGAGCCACCGTGCATGGCCTGATCTCTCTTTTAAACTGTCACTCTTTTTTTTTTTTTTTTTTTTCCAATGGAGTCTTGCTCTGTAGCCAGGCTGGAGTATACTAGTGAGATCTCAGCTCACTGCAACCTCCACCTCCCGGGTTCAAGCGATTCCCCTGCCTCAGCCTCCCAAGTAGCTGGGATTATAGGCACGCACCACCACGTCAGGCTAATTTTTTGCATTTTAGTAGAGATGGGATTTCACCATGTTGGCCAAGGTGGTCTCGATCTCCTGACCTAGTGATCCCCCCGCCTCGGCCTCCCAAAGTGCTGGGATTACAGGCGTGAGCCACCGCGCCCGGTCTGATCTCTCTTTTGAACTGTCACTCTTCCATTCTTTCTTTTCCAGTCCTGTTGCTATCACTGGAGCTGTGGCTGTTAATGTCCTGTGCTTGGCTCCTAGCTTCTTGGTTTCCTGCCTCTAGTACGTCCCACCTTAAATATACCTTGCACACTAGTATACACATTAGATAAATGGTCTTAAAATGACTCCTTTTATCATATCACCTATCACAGCTTACGGAATTGTCTTAAAAGCCTAGGCTGTCATTTAAGGCTCTCAACATGCTGAATGAAACTGTAATTTCCCTATCAACTTCCCCACTCCCATAGGAACAGCCACCCTTAGCAAAGTGAGTCTGCATTTTTCTCGAAACGTGTCGTGGCCGTTGGTAATTCTCTTCATGCTATGAATGAATTCCTGAAACGCACTCGAATTTCTTCATCATTCTAAATCTCACCCTTCGTCGAAGGCACAATTGTTTTTTTCTCCATGAAGTCATCCAAGAATATTCCATTAGTAGTGATTCTTACTTTTCTTAAGTCCTACAATGCTATTTAATTGACTTATATGGTACTCATTATATATGCGTTACACTGTCTAGTTAATTAAGTCTTTAATATTTGCTTGTCCTGTCCTGTCTCTGAATTATCTCCCCCAAGGTAAGTCCCAAAAATCAACATCTATTGGATTATCAAACAATACCTAACTGAACTCCGTACATACTAAGTGCTTAATGAAATACTGGGTTATTCAAGTGTAAAATGAGATTATCTCTTCTAAGGTGATACCAAATTTGGAGAACTTTGGAAAGTTCTTTTTGTTACCAATACATGAATAAATAGAGGTCAGTGCTTCTAAATTTTGATATCAGGATTCACAGCCTAAAATTTAACCCCCAATCATAAATACACACAAAACGTCTAATTATTCATCATCTAAAAGTGTACAATGCAAATGCAGTCAGCCTCAAACAGGAGAAAGGTCTTTGATCCTTAGCATTAGAGATGAAGAGCAATCCCCTGTTGTTACTGTCATTCTCCCTTCTTCTTCCAAACTTCTCATATGACCTCCTATGATGAAGGAACATCTCAATAGAAGCAGTATTTCTTTTCTTTCCACACAGTCATTTTGGGTAAAGAGCATGCAGTAGTTTGAATTTCCTTATTATCAGAAGCCACATCTACAATTCATTCATTTATTTATTCATTCAGCACTTAGGCCTGGAATGGCACCTATTACAGGCCAGGGTCTGTGGAAGAGGAGAGAGGCACAGGAGGGAATTACCCTTGTTAATGGCTCTTGCCCTTGTGAGTCCTGTCATGTAGCCATGAGTGGTAAAATCAACTAAGCAGTTGGCCATCACGACATCTAATTCATTATTTATATTTTAAAATATAAAATCCACTGCATTTTTGTATTTGTGATGTTATCATATCTTATGTAGAATGGACAAAAGATCCTAATTACACCTTGGAAAACAGTTACTCCCAAAGAGCGATGTGTAAGTGTTGTCAGCAGGAATTGATTTGCACTGGTTTTCTTTCCCTTTCTTCTTAAACTCCATCAGTGGGTAATACAATTTGAAATACTTCAAAGAATCTACTCTTTGAAAGACCAAACCATAGGAACATTAGTGTCTACTTTTGGCAAAGCCTGGTCTTTAACTTGTTGAGTCAATTTTAAATATTTAAGTATGTGTGTATTACAGATAGATTGTGCTTTCCTATATTACAAACCATGTTCTTTCATACATTAGGCTTGGTGCCAAGCCAGCTCCTCCTTCTTCTGCTAGTTATCCATCTTTTATGAAATGTCCTGACTCACCTCAAGTTCCAGTCTTTCTGTGAAGCTTCTCTGATGCTTTCAGTACAAACGACTCTGCACTAGAGCACCCTTCCATCCATTAATTGTTTCATGGCTACGGCTTTCCTACCCAACCTAGTCATAGGACTCTTTGTGGGAAGAGACCATTTACCCATTGGGTAAAAGAAAAAAATTATTTACCTAACCTAGTGCTAGTCACATAATAAGAGGTCAGTACATATTTTTATTCACAACTAGTCCATAATTACATTAAGCCAAACAGAGTAGTTTGATATCATCAGCCTGTGATTCTGCTTCCTCAGGTATGGTGTGTTCAAAGAAGAAAGAAGCAAACCAAACAAGCAAGAAAGCAACGATAGAGGTGAATTTATGATAATAATAATCATCATAATATTCCTGTAACAATATTAATCTTAATAGAAGAGATTATTTTCTTCCCTGATGCAGAGATAACCAAAGATTTCAGTGAAAAGGGATAAAAATTTATTGTTTTGTTCTACTAAAGTGAAGCGATCAGCCAAAGGCAGAATTTCTATGAAACCAATTTGGTTTAGAAATTAACTATTATCTTCTTGCCCTTCTATACAATCTCAAGAGGTATTTCTTTAATGATCTGGCTTTAATATGGGAAGATACTAGGCTTTTCCAGATCTTTGTTAGACGGCAGATTAATATGAGCATGTACATGGGATGAAGGTGCCAGACGAAGCCGGCTGACATTGAGACTGGATGGCACTGCCCCACCTCCGCTGCCAGGAACATACATTTTAAATAGTGCCTGCTGTGCCAGGCGTATAACAAATCTGAAATCAATTTGACAAGCTTAATAGAAGCTTAAAGTAGAGCTGGTGAAAAAATCCCCAAACACCAAAAACATTGCTAGGCCAGAGCTTAGAGTTTTTGTGTAGCTTATTTGTGAATCTTGGGAGGCAGTTTAAAGATAGTTATTTCTCCTCTTCTCTTTATTTCTTTTCCATCATACTTTCCTCAATATGGCAGTAAATAAATAACTTCAGCATGAAAAAATATGCTTAAATATCTTATTGGGTTTTGGGAAGTATAAACCACTGATTTCCATCAAGGTAACTAAAAGATACATACACACACACACGTATATATATGTTCTTGAATATAAAATATGACATATTTTATATATAAAACATGTGATCATAGCTCACTGAAGCATTGAACTACTGGGCTGAAGTGATCCTCCTGCATCAGTTTCCTGAACAGCTGTGACTACAGGCACGCACCATCATGCCTGGATAATTTTCTTATTTGTTTTGTAGAGACGGGGTCTTGCTATGTTGCCTAGGCTGCTCTCCAACTCGTGGCCTCAGGGGATCCTCCCACCTTGGCCTCTCATGGTGCTGGGATTACAGGCATGAGCCACCATGCTTGGCCACTTAAGAAGATGTTTTTTAGCCACTTCAGGCACTAAAAAGATAGGATCTCTATTAGTTCTAAATCCATGATGTACATGCCAAGTAGAATATACATTGTCCTCAGGGCCCACATATGCTCTACCTGTAAACTGTTCAGCAGTCTTTTGGTTTGCGATTATTTTACAGCATCCTAATTAGTATGGTTTGTTGGAAGACTCGTCTTGGCCAATATTTATACAGATGTCTATGCTTAGCCACTATCCAGTTGTGAACAAAAGTAAATCGACACTTGGTAAGATGTATGCAGTGTGGTCATTCATTCTGCATGCACTCAAACCATTCTGCAGCCTCACTGCGTGCATTATTTATAACTCTCGCCTATGTGTGGCTGATTTGAAATGAGCTCAGAGTCAACTGTTTACAGGCTAAGTCTCTTCATATAAGCTCTTGTGATAGAAAGGATGAATGAAGGCTGACAAAGTATTACTGGCAATAATGACGGATATGCTTCTGTGATGACTTGTTTAGAGACAGCTTTCCTTTAGTGCTGGGCCTCCACTCTTCATATGGGCATCGATATGTCATCAGTGTAGTTCTGAGGTTTGCTTCCGGGATGAACTTGCATTTGAAATTGGTGGGTTGTGTTTCTCTGGGGAGCAGTGGGAGCGGGTTGTGTTTCTCTGGGGAGCAGTGGGAGCGGGTTGTGTTTCTCTGGGGAGCAGTGGGAGCGGGTTGTGTTTCTCTGGGGAGCAGTGGGAGCGGGTTGTGTTTCTCTGGGGAGCAGTGGGAGCGGGTTGTGTTTCTCTGGGGAGCAGTGGGAGCGGGTTGTGTTTCTCTGGGGAGCAGTGGGAGCGGGTTGTGTTTCTCTGGGGAGCAGTGGGAGCGGGTTGTGTTTCTCTGGGGAGCAGTGGGAGCGCGTCTGTACCCACAAGGATGTTTCTGCTTAGCAGTCTACACCTGAGGCTCTGTCACAGCCGAACCACTTCAGCGACGTTACTTGTAGCCACCAGCTGCTCTGGTCCTGGGTCTAGGATTTTCTTTTTGTCGCCGGAGCTTAATCTTGGTTCCACATTTAATAGAGAATAATTGTAAAATATATGATATCTTTTTGTTTTTTATTGCATTCTGATGCTCTGCTGAAATAAATCATGTCATATGTATTTGTGTGTGCGTATGTGTGCCTGTGTGCCCGTGTGCACGTGGGTTCATCCATTTTGAAATCTGAAACTGTTGGTGTTCACTTCAATATGCAAAGCTTTGTGTGTGTGTGTGTGTGTGTGTGTGTGACTTTTTGTTTTTTAAAAAACTAATCTCTGGGTCAGGTGATTGCATCCCTTTGTCTTCAGGAGGCGTGGTGTTTTTCTTTGTCTCAATGTGCTCCTTCCCCGGTCACAGAAATTTGGGAAACTGGAGCTGAAGCAAAGGGGTAGAGGAGAGGAGGGCAAAATCAGCAGAGATTATTAGCAGTGAAGAGCTCAAGAACAGTTCTGTTAAGTATTTGCATTTAATTGTGAACTTGAAGTAGAAATTTTAAAATCCAATACAAAAAAGACCCTAACAGGAGGTAGCTTCTGACTGTGTGTGTGGGGGTGTGTGTGTTACCTTGTCTCCTAGGAGTCATTCATGGACATCTGAATTAGTATTTTACATTTTCCTTTAAAATCATTTCCAATTAATGGAAATTTGAATAGTGTCTTTTTTTTCTACTTTTATAGCTCCTGTATCCACTCTGAGTTTCATGGTGGCTTTTGAATACAAACAACTATGTCAAAGATGTGCCATCCTTACAAAGTATCTGAGATATCTCAATTCTTGTAATTATGTACTAATATACGGGTTGTGGAGGGAATAATATAACACTTACACTTAATTGCTATGTGTATGGTAGGAATAAAAACAGACTATTGCACACATTATTCCTTTTCTGCCCCCAAGGGAAGTTTTAAAATGACCTTTTAAAACACTCTTGAAATTATTTTATACTGTCTACCAACTTTTGAAAACCAGATCAGTGACTTACATCTGTAAGCATATTGTCTTCAGCACAAAACACAGTGCCTTGCTCAAAAATTGTCAATGGCTGTAGTGTGAATGAATAAATGAGTGGATAGATGAATAAATCCATGTCTCTTGATCCAAGAAAAGGAGAGGCGAAAGCCTATGAGCAAATGAGATGCTAGTAGTTTTTCTAGGGTCAACTACTTCAATAAGCATGATATGAGCAGCTGGTCATTGATTTTTATTGCTGCATGTCCTAGATTAATATTTCTTAATTACAGATCCGTGGTTTCCACTCAGTGAATTCCTGTTTTAACTTTCCTTGCCCTCATTGTGTAAGAAAAGTCTCCAATGACATCCAGCTGCTCTTTGCCTAGAATTTTAGTGCAGAAACAAATTACATGCTTAAAATGGATTAGAATGTTTCACCATACATTGGCCTGGGATGAATATCCTGCTAGGAGCAGACGGCTCTAATTAGAACGTGCTCCTGTGGCAGGGAATTTGATTAGAGTTGAGAAAGTTATAAATTCTTCATGGGAAGAAACTGTCTCATAAAATTAAAAATTACCTGTATTTCATGGGTATTTTCTCTGCCTCTTCTCCCACAGTGTTGCTAATGCTAAACACTGTGATACAAAGGTGCATTAGTAAGCATGTAAAAATTAAGTTGGTTAACAGAAAATAAATTATAGCTATTTTAAAATCTTAAATCCAAAAATTAAGACAATGGTTAAAGACAGTGTTGAAATGCAGCATTTGTATTTTGCAATTGGTTTGCATATAATCCTTTTGTGACACACACACATATATATAAAAGCACCTCCTTTTTGTATTTATCCTTAAAAAATATGTGGATAGAAATGCAAATTAAAGCCACCAGACATCACCTCATACCTGTCATTGTGGCTGTTCACAAAAAACAAAAAACAACAAGTGCTGGTGGGGCACGGAGAAAGGGGCACTCCCGCACACTGGTGGAAATGTAAGTTAGTGCATTAACTGTGCAAGTGTAAAGTAGTACATTCACTATGGAAAACAACATGGAAGTTCCTAAAAAATTAAATATAGAACTACCATATGATCCAGCAATCCCAATTTTGAGTATAAACCTCTCAAAATTGAAATCAGGATCTTGAAGAAATATCTGCACTCTCACATTGATTGTAGCATTATTTACAGCAGCAAAGACATAGAAACAATCTAAATGTCCGTGAAGAGCTGAATAAAGAAAATGTAGTATATACAAAAAAAAATAGTATTTGTATACACCAATAACATTCAAGCTGAGAGTCAAATCAAGAATGCAGTCCCATTTACAATAGCTACAAAAAAAAAAAAATACTTTGGAATACCTCTAACTAAGGAAGTGAAAGATTTCTACAAGGAGAACTACAAAACACTACCAAAGAAATCATAGATGACACAAACAAATGGAAAAACATTCCATGCTCATGGATTGGCAGAATTAGTATCATTAAAATGGCCTACTGCCCAAAGCAGTCTACAGATTCAGTGCTATTCCTATCAAACTACCAATGCCATTCTTTACAGAATTAGAAAAAAATTATTCGAAAACTCATATGGAACCAAATAAGAGCCAAAATAGCCAAAACAATCCTAAACAAAAAGAATAAACCTGGAGACATCACATTATCTGATTTCAAACTATACTGTAAGGCTACAGGAATCAAAACAGGATAGTACTGATACAAAAAACAGATACATAGACGAATTGTAATAGAATAGAGGGCCCAGAAATAAAGCTGCACAACTACAACCATCTGACCTTTGACAAAGCTGACAAAAATAAGCAATGGGGAAAGGACTCCCTGTTCAGTAAATGGTGCTGGGATAACTGGCTAACCAAATGATTAAGATTAAACCTGGACTCCTACCTTTCAGCGCATACAAAAATTAACTCAAGATGGAGCAAGGATTTAAATGTAAGACCTTAAACTTTTAAAAAATCTGGAAGAAA